ACAACAGTGGTTTTAAAGTACCATTGAGTACCCTTAATAAGTTTCCCCCAAGTGAAAAGTATTTTTTTTTACCTCTTCATGATGTAATGTTTTAAAACAGAACAATAAAATAAAAGGCCTGGAGACGAGACGAGGTGTGTGGAGTCAATACAACTAAGAAAATATAATTTCAATGGGTACTGAGATGTACCCTTGAGGGAACCACCCCAGTGACAGTTTACTACCTTTATTTTTGAGATTGTATCATAAAACAATGTCTGTGAGCAATCGTGACTCGGTTTCTCTAGAATGGAGCATTTCACACAAACCACTCTGAATGACTCTTGTTTACATCACAACCCTTGACCTATGCAGTTTTGAAAATTGGTGAAGTTCCCCTTCAAGGGGTTAAACGGTAAACAAATGACAAAAATGAAGATACAACATTTTTGCGTGACAAAGATGATATGTTCTTTGCTATCTTAGCAGGCAAAAGTGGCAAATTTTAAGCAAAAAGATAAAATTTGTACAATTCCTCTTTACACTAAATATATATTAACAAAAATATTTGGTGGTGAAGTTTGCCCCTTACTAGAGATTATACCCCAACAATTAGCATCACACAAACTGCATATCTAATCCATCTCTAACTAACGTTATTCTGCGATAAAAATTATTACAGAATGCACTATTTCTTTACTATGTCCAAGCACTTTGCTCTGTTGTTTGTATACTATCTTAAAATACCATCCAACAGTGATTATTCTCCCAGAATGTGTTTAGATTATGAATGCATCACTTTTCCCACTTGTTTATATGAGCTTGTACTTTGCCTTATAATCTCTGCAGCATGTTTCAAATCTAAACTCGACAGATTAAAAGGTACTGCATTTCATTATATGTGAGTGTCCTAAGCCAAGTCTAAACAGATTAGTTGTAGGTTTACTGTTAGGTTTTTTTGGCCCAGTGCTGCAAAGTGCAGAACCACCATCACGCATGAAGACTACCAAACACTCTCTGTAGCAGACATCACTCTCTGTCTTGATGAATTTAATGTCTTCCCCATCCCAATCCATATAATGGAGCTTCCATGGGTGCTGTGGTTGCAGTGCAGCCAGGTAATGCAGAAAAGTCATTAGCTTAGTAGTGGCCTATTGCAAGAACATGTTAGCTAGCTATCTAAGGCTTTCTCATTTGCACCTGAAGTATCAAGCTCTGCCCTTGTTCAACACACTCAACTGAACTAATCAAATAATCATCAAGCACTTAACAACTGCAGTGTAGAAGCATCCCAGGACTGATGAGACTGAGCTAGAACCACGCAAATATGACAGAGATGTTTCTTTAATTTTGTTATAGCGGTGGGTGGTATACTGGTTATACTGGATTGTTCATCAGTTATGAGTTTTATCATAACCTTATGCAGGTATGCAAGAAATAAGCACAGTTGACACAACGTACAAACAGTGCAAACCATGGTAATGTTAGCTGACTTAGCTGAGTTGCTGAGTCATGGATGTTTCAGTCACATTTTAAAGAAAAATGAAAGCCAGTCCCATTTGATCACCTCCTGCTGTTTAAATTAATTGCATCCTAAATCTACTATATTGTCAAGGCAGCAGGTATAACGGATTGGCTGTTCTTTGGAGGGTAGCCTTAGCATGGACCAGAGCCATCAGAGCAAATGCTGAGCTTCTGTTTCCTTCAACACAGCCTGGGAAGCTGCCTAACTCAATCAGCTGCATCAAATGAGGCCTCAGTGAGGGCCTTGCACAAGAAGCTGTGGACCAGCTGGTACTGATAGCATGAATTACTGTAAAAATTTTAAAATTCCAGCAGTGTCTGATGGTCAGAGGCACAAGTGTGTGATGTATGTATGAGACAAATGACTTAAGAAATCCAGCCAAGCTGAGGTTTCTTATTAAAATGTCCTGTTCCCATTCCACATGGTGAAGCTGTTACAGGTGTCGTTCCATTTAAGGTGGAATGGAAAATGGACAAAAGAAGCTACTGAAGAAGGAAACAATGTCAGACTTGTAGAAATCCAGGTGTGAAACAACATTTAGCACCATTTTTGTCAGAAAGCAATACTGACTGATACTGAAGCAATACTGGTTTATTTACATATTGTGTAGTACTGTTTTTACTATTTTGCACAAGAAAAAATATTTCAAATTTGCTTTGTTGTTCAAGATGTTTCTTATTAAAAAAGTGACAGCATTAGAATAATACTGTTAACTGTCACTGTTAACCAACAAAAATAGGTTTATTTCAGCATCTGAATCATTTTATTTGAAAAAAAAAAAAATAGTATATACCATAATGTATACCAAAATGGTCAGAAATTTTAATTATGCCATGATATAAACTTTGGCCATACTGCCCACTACTAAACACCACTATGCCTAAGTGTAGAAAGGGCACGATTTCAACAGTGTGTGCTATAAAATGTAATCTTGCTTTAGTGTTTCAATTTTCCTTCAGACTCTTTCATAAAAAAATATACAACTCAGGCTCCAAAAGGAACAGCACTTACAGGAAAAAATTATTTTATCGTAGCTTCATCTTCCAGGTGAGAAATGATATGGTTTAAATGAGACATTCACCACAAATGCATACATATTAAATACGTAAAAGTTATTCTCAGAATTTGATGAGTTTGATCAACACTAGATGGCACAGTAGACTAGCACAAGGTACCAGACCTTGCATATAACCAACTGTCACTCTACTGTCACTTTGCACATTATCCTTTGCCTCACTGGCACTTAACCAAGGTGAACTTTTGCTATCCAAGACACTATCATGGTTATACTTGACCCCGTATGTTTGGTAGAAACAACAACAATTCATCTACAGCACAATCCCGGTGCTGAATTAACTCATACAGTTTCTATTTGTGTCAAGCTGGTGTTGGTAAATACTGTAAATGTTGACTTAACACTGGAGTATATGGGTTATGATTATTTCAAAACAGAATGGCCATATGTAAGGAATGCTAAGCAAAGTGAAGAAAAAACCAAAGTCTGTTTTTCTATAAAGACGGTTAAGAATATCTTTGAGTGCCCCCTTCTGGACACTATAGCAGTGGTCTTCAACCCTGGTCCTGGAGAGCTGCCTGTCTGCAGAGTATAGCTCCAACCTGTATCCAGTAAACTGCCCTGCCACTTACTTAACTTCTAATACATCTGATCCAGCCAAATCATTAGCTTAAGATACCTGTTATGAATATTACTTATGTGAGAACCATCCTATGTGAATCATCCTATGTCTGAAAATGGCTCATATTTCATGTTTGTATGCATTTTATAAGATATATTTCTGTGAATGTTAAGTGTATATAATTTCACTATGTTTCACTATAATGAGATGGAATGACAATAAAATGATCCGAAGATAAACTAATTATTTTGACGAGTGTTCATTAGTTTGCAACTAGTCATACTTTTAAGGCTTTTTATGGCTTTAACCCCTCAAAATCCCAGGCTTATTACATACTAAGGCTCATTATTCAGTAACTACAGGGACTTCAACGCCAACTGGTTGAGCTATTCTTAGAAATGCGCAATAAAACTTTGGGCCCGCTCAGTCTATTAAATCTTATATTTAGATTTTTGGCAACAATCTCAGCTGTAAGAATCACATCACTAATGTTTTGCTTATTAAAGCTTATTATTATCTATAACATTTTAAAGGTCCACATCTTTCTTTCGACCTCTGGCTGTGAGAGGTTGGTTCATGTCTTATGTGTCAAACAGACTGTATTACTGTAATGCTCTGTTTTCTGGTTTTCATAAGAGCTCTGTTAGTTAGTCTAGAATGTGACTGTCAGGTTCCTGGTGCATACTAGAACAAGAGACCATATAACGCCTGTTCTTAAAGCACTTCACTGGTTACCTCTGTCTCTTAGAATTTATTATAAAATCCACCTTTTAGTTCTTAAACGTCTTCATGGCTTTGCCCCTCCATACCTCTATGATGTGATTATTAGATATGCTCCAGTTAGATTACTTAGACGTGTTTTGTGTCCCGATCATGTCTGGATATACTTAACTGGATTCTGTTTACACTGTTCTCTAAAGTGCCAAGATGAGATCCAACACATGCTTTTTGTCATATATTTGTTGACTTTTTCCCCCGTTACGATATGAGTCGATAAGACTGTTGGGTTGGGAGAATTCCAGAGTTTGTTTACTTGTTTATTCTCTCACCTGTGAGTCAGGACTCAGTAGATGCATTTCTGCCCATGTAATTATATACAGAAAACAAAAATGCATTGTGCTTGGACACTTGGCCAAGATCCATCTCTGACCACTTCAGAATGTAGTTTGAGTGATCCAGTCGTAACACACTGCACCCTGGCCGTGTTAACATTTGGTTTTAATGCAATCAATTGAAAAGCAAATGTGATCTGATCACTGAAAATGCATGTTGATGTAAGATGTAAACACTGAGACCTGCGTTAGTCCTTCCTGAAACTTGGCTAAAGAACAGTTTAAAAAGAGACTTAAGACTCACTCATTTGTTGCTGCTTTTAATTAGGAATTGTTCCTCGTATCTCAGATGGATGAGCAGTTTGCTTGGTTATTTCCAAAAATAAAACCCCAGCATGCTAAATAGTTTTGTGGCCTTCCACAGCCAGTGTCCAACTTCTTTGAGGGACAAATTACAAATGACAAGGCACGATGAGATCAGTGTAATCATTTTTATTTTTCATTTTGAATCCTTATTATGTGCTTTTACTGTTGTTTCAAATTCCATCGTTTCATTTTTTAATGCTCATTGAATTTTTACTCATCTTTTGAATTCCTTTTCACACTTTAAAGCACTTTGCTTTAAAAAAAAAAAGTGAAGACTTGTTTTGAAAAGTGCTGCATGAATAAACAAACAAAGCACTGAGCCCTACAACCACAAAAAGAACAGAATGTCTTTAGTATCTTGGGAGGAGCTAGATAATTATTCAACAGTCACATGATCAGAAGCTTTTTCAGCCTTTCAGTTTCACAGAACTGAAACTGAAACTACTAGATAAGCTTGTAAAACCTCTTGCTCTCTACCAGGAGCATTCAACACTCGACTGAGGAGGAAAGAGCCTGTCGACCAAGACTGTTTGCATGTGATACTGCAGCTACTTTATTATTTTTTATTAACCATTTCAGGTTATTCTTAATCAAATGTTCTTGAACTAAAAGAAAGAGCAGAATTGGCCAGCCCTGCGGAGGACACATCTGAGTACAATGCTGTTTTAGATGAGGAAAAAAAAAACACAGCCTAAAGATAACAAAAACTCACAAGTAGTTATTTGGAACTACTACCTGCAACATGGGGAAGTGGAAAGTTCATTGTGGTGAGTTCTTTTAATTTACTTTTTCCTCTTCGTGAGTGAAGTCTGGAAGCATTTTCTCTGTGATTTAATCAAATACTGTTATATAAAGACTGACTATGTACTAATCTAAGTTATATTTTATTGTGCTTATTTCACATTTACAATGTGAATTTTTTATACATAGAGACGAGCCGTTTCAAAAAAGGCAGTGGTGGTCATTTCCCCCGGCGCTTACCCTTTAAAACGGTGTACAGACACAGGAGCCCCGCCCAGACAGGTAAGACTCGCTCTGAGTGAGAGGACTGCTGCAGTATTTTTCCACTCTGTACGTGCAATTAGTTATTTCCCCTTATTGTTTGTACAAGCTGACAAGTTTATAGGCACAAAATGTATAAGAACAGCCATGGATTACAGTGAATAGCTAAACAAACTCTCTTTACAGTCCATACATTATTACACATTTTTGGTTAATTCCAAAAATGAAACTCTGACATTCTAAATAGTTTTGTGGCCTTCCGCAGCCGGTGTCCAACTTTTAAGGGGGACAAACTGAACAATTTGATCAGTATTATAGTTTTTATTTTTTATTTTCAATCCTTATTATTACATGCTGTATTGTTGTTTCAAATTCCATAATAATTTAATGCTCATTGAATTTTGTACATGTTTCAAACTGCTTTTCACGCTGTAAAGCGCTTTTACATGCAAATTTTGTAGTTTATAGGTACAAAATGTACAAGAACAGCCATGGATTACAGTGAATAGTGAAACGGAGTCTCTTTACAGTCCATGCATTATTATAGTTTTACTTTATCACAAAACACACTCTTTTGACGATGAGAACAATGTAGTCATTGGTGCCACAGGGTTACCTGCTCACTTTCACTGCATGTTTTATTATTAACTGATTCTTTCGAGCAGGAAGAGAGAGCTCCACTCGAGAATCTCATCATCATGGTTGGCAAAGAAGAGAACATGATTCCCAGCTGTACAAGTCATATATTAGACAACAGAGCCTACCCACATGCATAGGTGAGGATTTGCTGAATTATAAATAATTAATTATTATTAGTCTTTATAATTATTATTTATATTAATACTTGAGAGAAAGTGCTAAACTGTGGGATTTTGGACACCAATGCCAGAAAGCACAAGTGCAGGTGTATTATCAAATCAGATCAAATGATATTTATTGTCTCATCTCATTATTATATATTAAAAATATATACACATTAGACTCTAATTATACACATAAATATACACCAGTATTGCACCTTTTCCAGTATACAGGTTTTGTAACAGTAACATAGGTTATGAAATAAAAGCTATGATATGTACAGTTGTACACATTCCCACATATGCAATTAGTGAGTCCGATAAATGAGATGTAAGGTATTCCAGAATATACAAGCATGTCAATCTATATGTGCATGTATAGATTTGTTACAGTGAGATCAGAGTGAGTCTGTTTGGGGTGTGGGTATGGTGTGGATTGTCCATGGTGATCATCACAATGATGATTCAGAGGTGTAGTGACAGGTGTATTAAGATTATACCACCAATTATAGCAATTGTTGATTTGTTATAATTCAATTCTAAAGCAATTATGACACAAAAATGTATTAATTAGAAAGTTTATTTACCCTACATAAAGAGAAATAGCTCCAACCTGGCACTGCTGCATATAAATGCAGCTGTGGAAAATCTTCAGGATGTCTACACTGGAAATGCCAAGTCTTCTTGTCAAGACTAATCATAAATAAACTACAATCTCATCAGCTAATAGCTTGAAAGAACTAACTACACATGTTACACATATGTAACAGATTTAAAAGTAATGTCAGCTGCTCTAAAAACATAATACAACCAATCCAAACCTATTGCAGGCTGTAGCAATGTGCTTATAAGGAAGGGTCATACAGCTCACTTTCCTTCACCTCTTGGATTAACTTCTCCTCATTAAGGGAGTAGAACTTTCACAATGAGGTAGCCAGTTTACACCCAGTGAATTTATTGGGGTGACAAAGGAAAACTAAAACAGTTGTTCATTCAATATTCTTCTTTGCATAAATTAAAATGTGTTTAATTTATTCGACACAGTTACTGCTGAAAGTAAAACTGAAAGTCAAAACTGAATTGATGTAGTTGTTCATGAGGAAATAATGTAAACATTTGAATCAAGTAAATTAAATGGATCACTTTTTTTCAGTACATTAACGTTAATATTTTAGGTCATAGAAGTTAGGCCACCCTCGCTAGAGGTTACTGACTAAGCTTGCCAAGTATAAGGTAACTATATGAGCAAACAGTCTCTAGCAAGGGTGGCCTAACTTCTATGACCTAAAATATTAATGTGAATGCAATGAAAAAAAAAAAGAATGCTTTTTTAATTCACCTAATTCAAATGTCAAAAATGGAGGTGTAAACAAGCATTATGGTTTTGTCGTTGACGCTCGCTTGGGTCGCTTACTGCCATCATAAATCTTTTCAGCAGGCTTCACACTTGTAATAAAGTTGTAGCTGGTACATTTTTAATGGGTGGTTGTTATTGTTGCCTTACTGGCCAATAAAGATTGTCGTGCCATTATTAGGAAATATTTGCACTCGTAGAATGCCTCTCAGCCAATCACATTGCAAAATTGGAACGAACTGTGGTACAATGATAAAATAACTGTGAATATTAATTGTGTTGTATTTACACTGCATATAAATATCTTGTTTGGATAAGTAACTTTAATCTTGTTGACCTCATAATGAGAAATATAAATATAAATACATTTAAGATGTTTTACTAATTTTTTGCAGTGTATAATGTAACTTTGCAATCTTTTAATCACTGAAGAGATGTCATTATGCTTACTACATCCAGCTCATAAAATCACATAAAATTATTCCTGTTTTTATTTAGGAGACCAAAGAAGATCAAATGTCAGGACTGATTTGCTGAATATGATTGTCATGGACTTACAGCCGCTAAGCCTTGTTGAAGAAAAAGGATTCCAACACTTTGTGCAGATCCTACATCCGTCTGCTGACATTCCACTAAGTACCTCTTGGATTCGAGCTGAACTCTTAAAAATGTATGAGCATACGAGACAGAAAGTGCAGCAGGAAGTTAGTAATGCAAAAGACCTGGTGCTTTCCGCCGAAATGTGGATCTCAAGCAAAGACGCCTCCTATCTCACGGTAACTTGTCACTTCATCGATGAGAACTGGGAACTGAAATCGTACACGCTTGAAACGGCACATCTTCTCGGTGAGCACACACCTGAGAATGTCCATCAGCAGCTTGGGAGAATTTCAACTGAGTGGAAAATCATGGATAAAATTCAGGTAGTGGTCGTGAATGTAGATGGCATGAAGAAACAAAAAGCAAGGTGGACATACATGCCTTGCTTTGGCCACACCCTCAACAAAGTTTTCAATGAAGCTATGGATAACTCAGACTGGAGAGGTTTGCTGAAGAAGTGCCGCCGTATCGTTGCATTTTTCCACCAGAAGAGTGAGGCATTGAGAAACGTTCAGTTGACCCAGTCTCCTGGTGTTGACTGGCTTCCTGTGCTTACCATGCTGGAAAACATCTCTGACCAGTGGCTGTCCATTTCCACAGAGTTCATGAACAGGCAAGAGGAAAATCTTTGGCTCAATGAAAAAGAGAGAATGATGCTGGATAGTGCAGTGGTGGCAATCAGGGTCATCAAAAAGGTCGTAGAGGAGTTGGGCGAGAGTGGTTACAGTTCAGTCTCCAACATCATACCTCTGTGCGACAAACTTCAGAGCAGCCTGGAACATCTGGGGCGAAATGGGAACAAGGTAGCACAGAGGCTTGCTGAGAGATGTGGCCATCACATGGGAAGCATCAAACAAAATGTACTGTTCTCTGTTAGCACGGCCCTGGACCCAAGATTCAAAAGCAGTGTACTACAGCACTTTGAAAAAATCAAAGCTTGTATCAAAGAAGAAATGCGCAAGCAGGGAAGCGGAGCAAGTAGGAGTGGCTGCAAAAAAGAACATGGCGGCAAGATAAGCTATGAAGATGTACTTCTACATAGATACTCGGCAGAAAGCGACACATCGGGAACTCTGAATCCTCTTGAGTTCTGGGCAACCAAAAATGATTTTAAAGAATTGACCATAGTTGCCCGCAAATACCTCACTGTGGTCTCCACTGCTATTCCAATAGAGCGTGTTATGCAGCAGGAAAAATCCCAGCTCATTTTCAACAGGAGAAAATGTGTAGAGCTGGAAAACATCAATATGATGCTGTTTCTGAATAACAATCATGCAAAAATATGAGACGAGGGAACAACATTTGTACTTTGCCTATTCGGGCAAGTGTGACAAAACGAGAATATCAGAAGAGGAAACAACACTTGTACTTTGCCTATTTGGGCAAGTGTGACAAAACAAAAATGACGCACAGTGTGTTGCAGTGGAACTGAGGACTGTGTGCAGCATAGATGATTGAAAAGTCACATACTATTAAATGGATAATGCTTTTTTATTCATTTTTTATTTATGTTTCTCATCAATTTATAGTTAAAGCTCTGCTTTTTTATCCTAGTGTAGTCCTTGATTACTTTGCTTATGGTTGTGATTAAAAACCTTTACTGCAGCGCAGTAAAAAAAAATATTTGCCCCCTCCTGATTTCCACTATTAGCATATTTGTCACAATAAATGGTTTCAGATTTTCACACAAAATAGGACAAGACGATCCACAGGAAACACAAAACACAGTTTAGTCAATTTATTGAAGGAAAAGAGTTTTGCAACAACTATATCACTCGTGAAAAAGCGCTCATGTGCTTCGGATTGTTTTCTTGCTGCATAACCCAATGGCGCTTGAACTTCAGATCATGGAAGGATAACTAGACATTCTCCTGAAGGACTTTCTGGTAGAAAGCAGAATTCATGGTTCCATTAATCTGGCAAGTTACCCAGGACAAGAAGCAACAAAGCATCCCCACACCATCACACTACCACCACCATGTTTGACTGTTGATATTATATTTTTATTGTGAAATGCAGTGTTAGCTTTATGCCAGATGTAATGGGATCTTTGTCTTTGAAAAAGTTCCAGTTTCAACTCACCAGTCCACAGGAGATTATTCCAAATGGCTTGGAGGTCAACAAGGTGTGTTTTAAGTTTGAGATGAGCCTTTATGTTCCTTTTGATTAGAAGTGGCTTGAAACCTTTGCAGTGTCTTTCTAATGGTGAAATCATAAACGCTGACCTCATCTGAAACAGGCAAGGCCTGCAGCTCCTTAGATGTTTGCCTGGGTTCCTTTATGACTTCTTTTAACAGGCTAGCCAGCTGGTAGGGGGTCAAATACTTTTTTTCACACAGGGCCAGTTGTTGTCTGATAACTTTTATTTATATATGGTGTTATGATTTTAAAACTGTATTTTGTGTTTACTGAGGTTGTCTTGTTTAAAGATCTGAAACAGTTAATTGTGACAGATTTGCAAAAATCAGCAAATCATTTTTCACAGCACTGTACGCTCTTCATTTCAGCCTGTGACTTTTTATTAAAACAATCAAATGTATATTTTGATTCATTTAAAACATAACACATCTGTACTAATTTTATACAGTTATATACAACTTATATAACTGCTAATATCTCTGTGCTTATCATAAGATGCTTGGCATATAATGACATGTAAATGGAATAGAAAATAAAAAAATAAACAAAAATAAAATGTGTAGTTATATCTTTGACCACTAGATGGCTCTACAGAGCATGGAATTTGACCACCATGACATGATTTTTCTCTCTAACAACATTTGTTTTTGGTTTAAAACTTTGGTATATCACGTTTGTGACAAACTACAGAACTTATTTTTATGCTAGTAGCTATGTAGTAGCTATGTAGTTATCACTAATACTAATATGGCCCTAATGTAATGTAAAAGTCCTTAATGATTTACTTTGTCTGGCAGTTTAACAACTATGAGGTCACTTCTTGGTTATTAAGTACACCTACCTTGTATCTACACTCATTGTCCATTTTAGCAGATTCACATACAGGTGCACGCTGTACCATGTCAGTGTCACTGCAGTGCTGAGAATGATGCGTCACCCAAATAATACCTGCTCAGTGGTGGTGCTGTGGAGATACTTGCCACTAAAAATGAGTAGTAAACACAGAAGTAAAGAAGTAAACATAACAGACTATTTATTTTATTTTTATGTACCAGCCTAATTAGTTCTAAATAGTCAATCAAGGCCTATTACATTAACTAAATTCTGATACTTTTCAACCAGAGGAGTATTCTGTATTTTTTGTACATGTCCCATTAACTGTATTAACGTTTGCACATGACACAAATAGTATTTTATTTTATTTTTAACCCCTTAAATGGCCAGGACCCATTGGCCCACACTAAAAAAAGAATAACTCAACCCGTTTACATTAAAGTCCCTGTAGGTACTGAATAATAAGCTTTAGTGTGTAATAAGCTGGGATTCTAAGAGGTGAAAGCCATTTAAATATCATTTAAAGTGTCAAATTTGTGCATCACACCAAACTACAAACTTTGATAACTGTAAATAAACAAATTTTAATGTCAAAACATGATTTTCTGTATGGTAAAGGGGTGAAATTCATCAAAATAAATGCATAAAGTAATTGTTTATTATATTATTGAAATGTACAAAAAATATTTATTTTGGCTAGGGTTGCCAAAACATTTGCATATAACTGTAAATAAATATAGTCACTGCCTAAAATCTCCAGAATATTACCTTTACTGGACTGTGTAAGTTAACGTGAAGCAGTTTTATTCAAAGTGATTTTGGAGCATATCTATTTCCAGGGTTTACACTGCAGAAACAGGTTTTCATGGAGCAACACACACATGCGGACACACCTGGATGTGAACTTGGCTGTGCTCCTGTGGATAATTGCTTTAATATGTTGCCCAGCTCCTCTCACGCCGTGGCCGGCTGTGAAGGGGAAAGTGTGTAATCGTGTTAGCTGGCTTCTCGCCTCTCGGAGTAGAGGATCAGAGGAGGAGAGAGAGAGAAATGACAGATGGGGGAGAAGATGAGGGTGCTCATTTTGCAAGGTGAAATATTTGTTTCATCAGCATGCTGCAGCGTGGCTCATCCAACTTACAAAGGGCTTGATGCTAATCAAGCGAAATGGGGTTGTTAAAGCAAGGAAAGCATAAAACTGAGCAGAAATAGAAAACTGCTAGAACTACACAATTAACATTTAAACCCTTATAACAGAGCTTGCTGCTCAGTGCCAGATTTATTGTAGGTTCTCAGTAGTAGTATTTGCTTTAAGTACATTATTTGTGAAGAAAGGGGTCTGTAGACACCAGCTCATCCAACATTTCTTCTAAAATCAAGGATATTAATAGGGAGTTTGACCCACCAACCTCCCCACCCCGTCCTGCCCTTGCTGTAGCTATTTCTCTAGGCAGGCTTTAGCTTCATGCCAGATGTTGGAACAATGCTGTCAGAATTTCATGGCCTTCAGTTACAAAAGAATTAGTGAGGTCAGGTACTGACGTTGGACGATCAGGTCTGGATCCCAAATGACACTCCAACTCATCCTAAAGGTATTGGCTGGAGCTGCATCACTTCAGAGAATGCAGTTCCACTGCTCCATAGCCCAATGCTGAAGGGCTTTATACCACTCTAGCTGATGCTTGGCATTGGGCATGGACACCTTAGGCTCATATATGACTGTTCCAGAGTGTCCGATTCTATTGGTCAATGTTTTTCTATGGAGATTATACAAGCCGTGTCAGCAATGCAAACACCATAAAGTAGCTGAATTTACTAATTAGAAAGGGTGTCTGGTACATTTTTGGATTATTATGTGGACCTTCTCTATAGGGAGTAATGATTTATGCCCAGTCATTTGGTTGTTTGTGTTACATAGGTTATTTAGATAAGTAATTTTTTGTCTTATGCTTATAGTTTTAAGCTCTCATCTTCTACCATTCAGTAAATAGGTGACTTAGAGTGGTTTAGAGAAAGTTCTAGCACTTTCTGACTGAAAAATGTGCTTTGATAATGCAGTGTGTATGTATGTGTGTGTGTGTGGGTTCATGGTCTATACATTGATCAGCCTTACTACCTTCTGAGCAACTCTGTGCAGTGCAGTGATCTCTTAAATCGATGGTTCTCTGATCTGCTGAAGCCTTTACATCAAACATGGCTTTGCTCTGTGGGTGCTCTGCTTAGCCCAGTGCTCCAAAGTAGTTTAATTGAACCCTGCTATATAATGTTGACATAACCATGATGTCTCCTGGATGTCATATGCTGTCATGAGTTGTCATGACAGATTAGGTCTAGTAATATAACAGTGTCATGTTTCTATTTCTGGTATATATCATGGCAGATGCCTTAAAGGTCATTTTATTGCATGACAAGGCTGACGTAATGCAAAGATGTAAGACATGATGAAGATAATATGGGGTGGTGGTGGTGACAATGCCATAGCTTTGCTGTCAAGATGCTTCTCCTTGTGGGCTATGCCATGGAATGGAGAAATCCTATCCACTCATTGTTCCTTATTCCCCACAAAAATGTGACAAATCTGATATTTCATTGTTTTCCATGGAACAGCAACAGAATATTCTGCCACCACCAGCGGTAACATAAGCAGTGTATCACAGCGCACAGCAGAAAATTCCATGAAGAAATTTTGCCACGTTTTCCATCAACTAAACCGGATGTTTTTTGGGAGCCACGGATGCCAATCATCTCATTGTTGAAGTCCATCATTATACAACAAATAAGTAAAGTAGTGTTGAGCTTTCTCCTGGCTTCTTCATCTTAAATAAACAGTTAACATTGCTAAAACTCTACTCTGATAACCATTTTAGCTAGTGTCACCATATCAACATTTTCATGGCTGCATGCTTCTATACCAATATGAGACATGAAATTATGTTGTTGTTTTTTTCAATATCAACATAAAATGCAAACGTAAAAACAGCATTCCATTCATTTGGAACAAATGGCTGGGAGGAGTGGGAGAGATTTGTAATGTTACAAAATGTTGACATTATGTATTTTTGGGACAGTTGCACCTGAACACACCTCAGAGGGAAGAGATAAAATAAACTGAAATTTCTGACAATTGAGAAATAAGGGGGCAGTACTGTATGAGACCCCCCCCCCAAAGAGAGAGTGAGTGAAAACAGTTCACATTAAGGCATTTAGTGTCACTGTGTACTCAGCCATGCAGACAGCATAACACACACTCCTTTCCACCCATGCTCAGTGTTACATAATACACTCAATGAAATGTTATATAACCACTGTAAGGTGTTCTTCGCCAGATATATATCTTTAACAAGTAGAAATTATGTCTGTACCATTCCTGAGGAAAGACAGAGGTACCATGTTTATATTTAAGCGTGAGAAGCCTAGAGACCTTAATTACCTTTAGGAATCTTCAAGACATAAATCCAGTTGACTCCATGTGCTACAGGGTCAGCGTTGCCAGGAGATTACTGTGGAGAGTTGTAGCACTTAATTGTTTGAGTCTGACTAATTATTTGGTATTAGCACTACTCCCAGAAAACTGCTCCCTGGTGGGTACTTGGCTTGGCCTGGCTGAGGAAATTGGCTGGGTATTCTGTCTACAGTTGATATTTATAGCTTCATACGGACCCTCTGGGTGGATTAGGCTCAGTTCACACCTGAAAAGCACTTATTTAGTCTAAGATGAACCAGTACACAAGGCAAAACCTATTTCTATATTTGTTTTAAACAAAATATAATTTGTTCAACCCAAACCAGAAGAGACAGACATCAGTACTCTGCATGTGGAAGTGAAATTGTTGATGATGATGAGTCATGTTGCTCTATGCTACTGAATTCTATTCAGTATTTTTGTAAAACATTTTAAAATCAAGCATGGTTGAAAGGCTATGTTTGAGAAAATGCTTGAATTTTCAGATCAAACAACTAATTTCAAAACAAATTTCATATTTTGATTCAGGATACTGCAGAAAACTGGATGAAGACTGAGGACGAATGGGGTGACACCCATGCTAGTTTGCATTAGTCAACATGTAGTTACTAAATATTAAGCCTTACAATGTAATAAGCCTGGGACTTTAATAGGTTATAATAATAAAAATGTTGATCAACTTAAAAAAAATATATAATTTAGCAAATTTTACATATAGACAATAATGGGTTAAGCCCTCTTCAGCACTTGAATACAGGTAGAGAGTTACAAAAAAACGTTAAAAAGAGTTTGGCTACTGAAGAGTACAGCACCACCAATCAGCCACAGACTCAATGCCCATGTTGATTTTGCACCAATGTGACAAGTTAGTGTTGATGTTGATAGAAATGTCTAAGCACTGTCCAGAAAAGCTGTGGATTTGGAATTTTTTTGTACAGTAGATTCAAAATTGAAGAGTCAAGCTTTTGCCTTTGTGAGAACAAAATGCTGCTCTATGTTGCTTGTAAACAAGGCAATTAGAATTAAATTTGCCAGAGTCACACAAATTAGCAGTTTTGTTTTTAAAGTGTGTCATGCTTGTCACATTGTATTGTCTGCTGTCACACGTTTTTCTCATTTTCATAAGATTCCAAAGCACAATTTGTCCTTTTATTTATTCCTTTGCTGTGCAGGCTCTGCCCCAGCTGCTCATCTACGCTCTTTAAAAAATGATGGTTCTTCAAG